AAACTATGACATTTATAAATGTATGAATCATATGGTGAAAAACTTGACTTTGAAAAATAAATCTGTTCTTTTTTCTCATAAAAGGCTAAATAAAACTAAAATATTRGTGGTAATTTTTGACTGTGTAACTTAAACAATGGCACCGCATATAAACGTACCATAACATGTATTTTTACAGAAGTGGAACACAAAACCCTCTTGGCAGGCATTAGGTAAAGACACTCGCACTGTGTTAGGGAGTAAAATTGCTGCTTCTTTTGAGACGTGACAGCCATCGAGGCTGGCGGACAGGAAGTAGGTGTGTCGACTTGTTTCAGGGTGTAATTATGTGTGTTGGCATACCATCAGTGTGTGGGATTATCTATAAACTAATGTATTACACTCTCTGAGGCGCTCTTATTTCCAGCTCACAGCACWTTGCTTTGATGAGTGTGATTTCATCATGAAGCAAGGCACTCACTCGTGTCTGCGATGACAGCTATCTGTACCCTCGCACCGTCACATGTAGGAACCGGTTTCATCAGGTGAAATCTCTGCGTCGAAGTCCCACAGCTCTGTGTTTGATGTCATCACAGGTGTGCCGGCTCTTTTTGTGGCGGTCTGGGCGATTGTCAGGGCGACGCTGGCGGATGCGAGGTAAGAGCACGTCAGATCCTCGGTGGCGTTAGAAGTCAGAACAGACACTAATGTGTCAATATTAATTTGAAACCTTTGAAACAGGCCAACCCCCATCGCCATAAATAGGCTTGAAAAGTAAACAAACAACAAAAGGACAATAATTAGTGCCTAACTGTTGTGACATTTGAGTCATCAGARGGATCCAATTAATCTTGCAACATTTAATGAGCAGCACAATTATGACTGAAAGCAGACACACAATGCAACAGGTGAGAGCTCTGGAATAAAGGGATGTCAAGAGATGAAGCTTAATTGAGTTTTATTGCTACAATCTCCACAGTACAACAGGTTGGGTGGAAAAGAACATCATTTCTCCCACTGTGGGAGAGAAAAAAATAATTTGTCTTTGAAGTTTTATGTCCTTGTGGGAAACCCTTCCAGTTGACTGAAACAAAATTGAAAATTTTACAGTTCATGTCATCAAAAAGACACKCTGGAAAAAAGAAAAGAATTGTGAAAAAGTACAAAAAGATTGTAATTTGAACAACACAAAAGGTAACGTTAGATCCACAAGTATCTTTCTTTGTGTTTCAATAAGTAAAAGAAAAATATTTTATTTATTCATAGGGCCACTTTTTCAGGGAAATTTAAATGTCTGCAGTTCTGCTTTTTTATATTTATTCAAACACTAAAAGTTTTATTGTACACGTATCAACTTTACATGTTTTCATTGTACTTTTCCAACTCAACATTTCTTTTTTTCTGCCACTCCAGCTTGAATTCTCTTGTGTTTTGTACAAACTGCAGGTGCTGGGAGTTGAGTGCTGGTAACATCAAGTGGATCTACCAGGTGCCCATTTTGACAGCAATAGGGGTGAGCATGTTGACGAAAAATGGTTCAAATCGGTCAAGTTAGCATGATATGAAAGATTTGAAGAAAAAAAAACGCAGTAAATTTAACTTTTATCTGTTGTAACTCCAGTTTAAGCGTAACAAATTCTCTCAAACAAACATTGGTTTGGTTTCTTTTGGTGTTTGGGAAGTAATGAAAKGTTTCTGATGGTATTTTCACTCATTCTTGCTACAAAAAGTCTCTACATGTAGACACTGTTGGCAGTAATATCAGGCCGGACCTCAGCAATTACACCTGCTGACAATTTACTCTCTAATTACCCTAACTCAACTTACTCCACAGAGAAGATCCAGGGTAACAAGCAGCTGAAATGGGCGAACTGGGCTCAAACTGTCATCCAGGGGGAACGCAGCGTCAAGCCACTCTTCTCAGGTTGTTGAGGTGGTTCTGAAATATGGGATGCCTTTCTTTGGAAGCAAACCCAGAACTTAGTAAAGGGGTGCAGTCCTCTCTGACCTGGGACTGCACTGCTATCCTCGGTCTATGGATTGTTTCTGTGCATGCACAAATTRTTCKGTGCAYSYGTGAGAATATCGAGACCCAACTAGCTCCATATCGTTTTGCTCGGACAAGTTAATAAAAACTGTTCCTGAATGCTCCTGAATTCCATGACTTCCTTTTTAAAGCAAACATCACTGGAACCTAATTAACTCTGATAGTTTTTAGTTGAACTCAATTTTAGGTCGTATTCAGACCTGACAATTTGCTCCGCTTTAAACGAACCAGAGTTAGTTTCCAGCGTTGGTCCGGACCTTTTGTGCAGGTGTGAATRCACTCAYRYGAACTCYGGTGMRGATCAAACAACCGGACCGAGACCTGCTTTTTGAGGTGGTCTCGATCCGCTTCCAAACGAACTCTGGTGCGGTTCACTTTAGTTCTCTTCTGGTGTGAATACAGACCGGACTCTAACCGAACCAACTGCATTAAACGTGCACCTTTTTGGACTTCACAGGCCACCGTTGCTGAGCTAAATAAACTGAAATCATACCTGTTTCGTCGTCTCCTGTTAGCAGCTCTACTGCCGGCATGTTGTGGGTCAGAACACGCAGAGCACCTCTTCTCCTTTGGGTTGCGGGACACATTTACTGACACTGCTCCAAAATTAGAATATCATCACGGAACCACCATTAAATTAGCTGCATCTGAACATTTCAAATGCTATTGCAGTTGTACTATCAGCAAAAATGTGCGCATCAGAACTGCAGCATGCAGGACTTCCTTGTTTTCTTCTGGATCTGTGGCTCAGTCCCGCCCCYGTCCTTTTTTTGTCCAATGGGAGCAATGATCGTCACACTCGTGGCTTTGTTTACAAGTTATAGTTCATTTGCAAAAAAGCACAATGTGAATGCAAACCGCACCAAACGAAAAAAAAAAAGTCCATTTTTGGTCCGGACCAAACAATTGGACCAAAGGACTTTCCTGGTCTGAATACACCCATAATAGTCTCTTGGTTATTCTAAAAAGAAAGCAGCACCTCAAAAAAATACGGACAAAAACAGCCATTAAAAAGTGATTTTCTCTTTTTATAAGAACATTATACAGATCTGATATTTAAAATGAAACATCCTTCTACTAAACGTACACCATAAATAAAAGATTGGAGACAGGATGTGTGTAGGCAAGTATCCTCAACAGAGACATGAAAAAAATAGAAATTCATAAAAATGCGCCCACGTTTCCAAAGTATACAGTATATGTGTCACAAGAAGAAGTGGCAGCAACAACCACTTTCATCTTACTTCAGGTAAAGTGATCWAATAGGCTTTACAGGTTGAAGCAATATTTTTGCTTCATTTTTCCCCCCATTTTCTTTACACTGTTTGCAGAAATCCTTCATAGGCCAAAAATTTCAGTGTTTAAACTTGTAGCAAACAGTTTAATTAAGAAAGGAGACGATGAAGAGGAAACCTTTGTTCAGTCGCTGACTTGCTGTGAACACGTTTCCRAAAGCTTTGAAATAATAACCAAACTTCTCACAAACCACACAGTTGTTGAGTGGACACTTCTGGCTCGAGTCGACGCAGTGTTCATGGGTAATTAAGTTACCGAACCAAGCAGAGACCGGAGAATTAAATGTCTCCTGCAGATTCTAATTACGGGCAGCGTTTTGGTGAAAACGCTCATGTCCTGCCGGCTTTAATGAATTATCTGTTGATAAGAAAGAAAASACGTCGTATTCTGAGCTCAGAAAAATTACAAGCGACCCGCAGCATCTTTAATGCCCTCTGCTGAAAACAGGAAGACGGACACAAATATTTCTGCCCCTTTTGTGAGTGTGTCTGAGGCAAACTGGACCGCTGGGTGGTTTTTAATTAAACTTCCACAAAGTGTTCATTGGATTAAAATAAACAGTTTTTTTAATGTTAATCCAGTGTTGAATGTCTGCCCTCACCGTATCCAACACAAAAATAACCAGTTTTACAGATATTAGGTAATAATTTCATTATTAACAACAAAACATACACTCTGAGCATGACATCTTATATAAATTGACCAAATTATTTTCCAAGTTTGACCAGAGGCCTGTTGCACAAAACTAGGATAAGAGATTAAGCCAGAATTTTGGTGCAATCCTGGATTAATTTATTAATGGTTCGCTTGTACAAAAGTAACAAGTCTGAAACTAGCCTGGTCCCGACCCAGTTTAAAGTGAGGATTATTTAATCTGTTTTTGGGCGGTAGGCAGTCGCTTTACTTTAAAAATTATCAGTGTAACAAAGTCTTTCAGTCTGATCCGATCAAAAAGTAATTTTGATTTTTGAGACTGATATACTGATCAAGAGCAGAATGTGTTGGATTATTAACCCTTTAACAGTCGCCCCTGAAATTCATTAAAAGCCTTTAGACATTTTTTTTATTTTTTTGTAAGGATGTCAAGTTAAAGATGAGAACTGGAGGAAATCATCTGACAACATGGTTTTCAAAACAAACAAACAAACAAACAAACAAACAAACAAACAAACAAACAAACAAACAAACAAACAAACAAACAAACAAACAAACAAACAAACAAACAAAGACTGTTAGCCTGGAAAATTTTCACTATTTCAAAACAACTCACTAAGTGCAATTCTGCATTGTTAGATTATTTCACTTTAGTTGAGGAGATTCAAACTATAATCTTGTCTTTCTTTAACTTATTTTAGATTACTATTTTTGCAGCGTTTGATTAAWAATCAGTGTGTTTCATACAATTTTTCAATGTTCTTGTGAACATATCTCCCTTAGTCTTTCTACTTTGTATTGAAATACTGCAGAATAAATATATACTGTATAGAATACATTAATATGACGTTATACAGTACTGACTGTCTATAAAACAAAACCTTTTACATCTCATAGCCACATAACACCTCATGTAGTAATAAAACAGGCTGAGAAACCCACAGAACAAGTTGCCTTCATAAACCTGAGTAACCAGTCACTGCTCAGGCTGAATAACACAAACTGATAAAAACTTTGATTTTGTTTTTGTGGCAGTTCCTACATGCACGGCACCATTARCATTTGCCTACACTACTTACTCCTGCCTGAAAGCCCTGGAAGTTTTGCATTTATGCAAAACATTTAACTGTTTTTTGCTGTTAATTGATGTTAATTGAAGTTAAGTGTTAAGTGTCTTTGCGGCCTCATCAACAGCATTTGTGTCTCTTTGATAAACTCACGTCTCGTTCACTCGYTCACGCTCTGGGTTAGGACTTTCTGTTGTGTGCATGCAGTATTTGCACACCTTGCTGGGGTAATTTTGGATGCACTATCTCACCTGAGGACACTTTGACATATGACGCTGCTGTAASCTGAATTGCTGAGCTTGTTGTTTCGCTGCCCCTGAAAGAAAATCTTTACTCCTGCACCGTCTTGCTGCGAGAGCCACTCTTGTAGTGAAGTCTGAATTAATCAATGCAGCTGCTTCGCAGCRTGCTGCACCTTGTTCCAGTACCAGTTAGCCACGTGATGATTTGTTTAACTGTCCAGGTGTGCCACACCTCTTAACTATTAGTTTTTAGATCACACAGAGTGGCAAACTCATAGGTCTACAATTGGTTTATTTCGGCTTCAAGTACTTTTGCAGCATCCTTGAAAGAGAACATGATAGTGTTGCTTTGTGATTGTGTTGTTGGTTCTGCACCCATCAGGCAGCTGTTGTGCGTCTTCAGAAAGCAGAACTTCAGGCTGCTCGAGGTCGGCCTGCAGCTATTTCGTCCACATCAGGGGTGGGCAAACGCTTTTCTCTAGCGGGCCCATTTTCACTTCAAAGGAATCAGAATTCAAACTGAAGCGTGGACTCGGTACGGTTTCCTCTTCTGTTATAACTGTAACYAAATTATCTTAAAAAAAATAAAGATTTTCTTTGTTTTCCTTGTGTGACAGCGTGTAGCTGGACACAAAACACTCAGATTCTTCCTCCTTCAAATTTAGCCTGAAAMCACACTTTTTCCCTTTAATCTCGGGGATGGATCGACATTGTTTTATTATTTGGTTCTTCTTTATACTGTGCTGATTCTTCCTTACAATATGTACAGTGACTTTWAGTGACCTGAAAGACTCATAAAAATGTGTAAGAAAAATACGTATTCAATAWACTGAAGTCGATATTAAGCCCATCACTGTTAAATAAAATGATTTTGTTGAAGGAATCAAACCATACAACACCAGAATTCTGGAACTGAGTGAGGTTTATTGTCACCGGAGCTGACAGGAAACCACACTGGTGAAAAACCAGGAAGTTAATCAATTTATACACCTTCTTCAATGCCTGCGTTCGCCCCCTACTGACCTACGGCTGAATCACAGGCATTCAGACAAAATTCTCACCTACTGTTCTCATAACGGTTGATTATGTGTTGTCATATAATTCGGACATGTAACTAATCTATTATCAGTCAAAACAGAATAGATTAAACATTATCAACATTATAAAAAGGAAAACCTAAAAATATAGTGTTGTGCTTTCAACATCAGTACTAACCTCTAATAGCTATAAATTTCTTCAAATGTATTTTCACCATTTTTTAACAATAACAAGGCAGATTTTTTTTGGCCTGGTGATGATACGGTTGTTGCATTTTTTTTTGTTGCCTGAACTGACACTTGTGATAGTAAATGGACGTCTCCCTAAAACAAACATTCAGAATATAGATGACCTCATGCATTCATTCATAGTGTGGTATTCTCAGCAGCACACTGATGCTTACTGAGAGAATCGGTGCAGAACTACTTTAGTCCAAAACATGGATGGAGGTTTGTTAAAAATTAGTARAAAGATGGAAGCACAAACTTTGTTTTTCTCTGTTTGCACTTGTTTCATCCCAACAACACATTTTCAGTTTAAAATGGTCTTTTTTTTGTTTTACATTTCCCTAGTACCACTGGTATTTTGTAAGTTTTCAGTCTACAAATGATATTCATGATTTTCTTTACGCTAAAAATGAAATACAGAAAAGTGCACCCAAAAAATGAAATACAGAAAAGTGCACCCAAAGTGTTCAATTATTGCTGAAAATTACATTTCAACACCTGACTGTTCAGAAACAGTGAAATAAATCTCTTTTTTTTTAGTTGTGACTGGTCTATGTTTTAATTTTATTTATTTTTCTTGACTATTATGTATTAATGATGAGTTTAAGGTTTACAGCCACAGGAAATGGATTCAAAATGATATTTTTTAGGGTTATTCCCCGAATTCTGCGTTTTCCTTCTCAAACTTTTGAGCCACAGCCAGTCTACAAACGTCAACGTAATCTTCAGGATGACAGATTATTTTGACCGTTTTTCATTCTTTCACTCTTTTTGTTACAGAATATTTTTTCAAATCAAAAGAGAAACAATTATTTTCAGATTTTTAATGCATTTGATGAGAATTAGGTTCAACACCAAGCATTTCTGTTTTTCTTCTTCTGTTTCAGCTCAACTTTATTCTGTTTGTGAATATTGTTCGAGTTCTGGCCACGAAGATACGAGAGACCAACGCAGGGCGATATGACACCAGGAAACAGTACAGGTTTGTGTTAGTGTGTGTCTAAAGTTTCATTTTTGTGTTTGGTGATAAAATCAAAAATATAAACTGTTTATTATTCCTATCAAGGCTCTGTCACATTATGACGTTTTAGACTACTTATGCCAACTTATGAAATTTGTTTTATGTCTAAATTACCAATAAAAGTTCTATATTTGATCAATTTTTTAACATTACAGTCTGTAAACACCTAAACAAGGCTTCCAATTAATTTTTTTATTTAATCTTCAATGTAGATGCCTTTAAAATTCTCATAAGTTGGCATAAACTTTCTAAAAAGTGTGACAGAGCCTTCAGATATCAATGGATCATTGTTTCATGCTTTGATAGGTAGAATCGAGAATCATTATAACAGATTATAGTTAGAATGACACATTTTTCATATTATAGTTTGATATTGTACTGATTTTTCAATATGATATATATATATATATATCTATCTATTTTAGTTGTTTACCTATTTTCACCTTTTTAACATAAAAAAATCACAATGTTTGAACAATAAGTCTGTTTTTTATGACATGATGCCGCATTTTGTTGTTTTTTGCCCTGGCAGCAGCAAAATTAGCTCAATAAATTGAGATAAAATGAKCTTGCACAAAAGTGAGAAACATTTCTCTGAAAACAGGCTGTCGCCTCTTGAYCAAAAGTTTGCAAATATCAGTAGGGGAGGGGGAATGCTGCTCCTTCCACTAAACAAAATGATGCCACTGATTTAGCATATCAGAAATGGTACCATGAAAAATGTTGGAGGTTCTGAAACAGTGAAGTTTTAAACATATCTTTTGATTTAAATGGTTTATAGGAAGAAGATCRGACTATAAAAACTAGGTAGAAAACTAAGATAGGTTCACTAATAACAGAAATTATATTTCTGTTATTGTTTTTTTCTTTTTTTTAGAGTAAAACTCCAACTTGTCCTCATTCTACTCCCCGTACAGCTACACCTACCAGTATAGACAGAAACACACACAAACACACTCATTTCCACATCTGCAATTATCTGTCCTGCTGGCATCGGTGTGTCAGATGAAAACATAATAATTATGGTGTATCATCCAAGAGGAGTGCAGTTCTGAACGCTGCGGGCGAGGACGCTTTATGTAGACGAGATGACGATTTGTCAGGACAGATGATGGTGATCAGGCGCAACAAAACGGAGGCCAAAGAACCGAGCCGAGTCCAACAGGTGTTATTAATTCTCAAACTCTAAAGTAGCGCGAGGCGGCTAAACAGGTACAGACAGGAAGGAGGTGAGCGAAACAAATTGTGACAAAGGTGAGGACTTTCAACTGGTCAGWGCATCACAGTTTTTTGTGTAGTTTACTGCTTTGCATTGGCAAAATGTTGTCTTTTATGTGAGCTCACCATACATTCTGTACCTTCCTCAGTAAACTTTACTGAACTTTAAAAAGAAAAAAATTGTGTAGGTCTTYTGGACGTGTTCTTCTCTAATGAAACGTTTCGTCTCTCCTCCAAGAGAGTATTGGAGGTGAAAATGAAGACCCCAAACCCAGACCTAAACCAGTGGTTATTCTGTATGTTGCGGGTGTTTCGGAGAAACTGAGACGTTTTTTTTCTAAACATGATGTCCCAGTGGCTTTCAAACCCCAAAACACATTACGGCAAAGGCTGGTTCACCCCAAAGATCCGGTGCCCCGGCACAAACAGAGCAATGTTGTATATGCTGTTAAGTGCCAGGAGGACTGCGACCAGTTATACATCAGGGAAACCAAGCAGCCACTGTTCAAAAGAATGTCCCAACACAGACGAGCTACATCTAATGGCCAGAACTCTGCAGTTTTCACTCATTTACAGGCCAGCGGTCACTCTTTCAGAGATGAGGATGTTCTCATTCTTGATAGAGAGGAACGTTGGTTTGAGAGAGGAGTAAAAGAAGCCATTTTTGTGAAAAAAGACCGTCCACCATTAAACAGAGGTGGAGGCCTCCGTTTTCAGCTGTCCCCCCTCCTACAGCGCTGCTATTGCCAGTATCACTCCACCCCCTGTTAACAATAGGTGTTAATTAGGTGTCAATGATAGCCATGTGATGTGAGTATCAGTCACATGGAGGCAGGGCTTAAAAGCCTGAATTTTGCCTGAAACTCTCAGACTGAAGAAGTCTCTTGGAGGAGAGACGAAACATTTCATTAGAGAAGAACCCGTCCAGAGGACCTATACAATTTTTTTCTTTTTGATTTTTTACCTGGATTACTGAGATGCATCAGGACATCTACTGAACTTTTCACAACATGCACATATTGGAACTGCGGCTCATCAGCGCCTGATCCTCTCCTCGCCGTAACCAATAATCTCACAGAGATCCAGGTCTAAAGGCCCGGCACCCAAGGATCAGTCTACTCTCCAGACTGTTCAACCCACCTCCACCTTCAGCTCTTCCTGGCTACCTCTTCCCTCTGGTCTCCACATCGCCACCAGAGTCCGAGCCCCGGGGAGGGGGAAGACGTTATTCCTAAAATCTAAGCTAATTGCTAGCTCACAGCAGTTTGCTGCACCCTCGTCTTCTGCCGGGGCTCGAGCGCCAAAGGACTTCCCATATCAATAAAACTGTTTACCTGCCCTCATTCTCTGTGTGAGTCTTTCCAGGTTGAAATAGTAAATACATTATTATTAGAATGTCTATTGTTTTCTTTAATACAGAATGTGTAGTAAAAGCACCACTTGAGAATAAATTAAACATTTTCTTAGCTTGTTCAGAAGCTACAATAAAAATATTAATTCTTTTATCTCCCTGTTATAGAAAGTGAAACTTAGGTGTATCCATGAATGTTGTTGATGATTAGATCGATCTTCCCACCTGTTGTGTATTTGTACAGGAAATTAGCAAAGTCCACCCTGGTTCTGGTGCTGGTCTTTGGGATCCACTACATCATCTTTGTTGGCATGCCTCACACGTTTGAGGGATCAAGCTGGGAGATCCGGATGTACTGTGAGCTTTTCTTCAACTCATTTCAGGTACTTTCTGTTCATGTTTTACTTTTGTAACATACTGTAATAATCAGCACYATGGGGGACCGAGCTTTCTGCACCATTGCTCCTCGTCTGTGGAATTCACTCCCAGATGATTTAAGGCAGGGGTGCCCAAACTTTTTCCCCAAGTGGGCCAAAAATGATCATCTATACGGGGCTGCGGGCCAAATGTAGTAACAGAATACATGAAATACAAATACTTTTTAAATAAAGTACTTTATTTTTAATGGTTAATCTTTCAGCCTATGGCCCACTTTGATTTTTAGTGAAGTCTGCCATACGCTCAAGCAGCAAAGTCTCATGGGACATTTCATAAATTGATAAAATATGAGTTTTTGTGGCCTTATAACGTGGGCAAATCTACATGTGTGGTTAAATCTAATGTAAATACCTCTTGTTGTTACTTGTGTTTCACGTTTCATGTTTAATATTAATATATCAAAGATAAAGTCAGCACCATCAGTGAAAACTATCCGCACTACAGTCCCTTATAGATTAAAAAAATTTATATACAATAAAAATACAAATCACAAATAAAATGAAAGGTGGCAGAAAGAAGGAAAAAAAAGTCTTATAGTATCTGCATCTATATTCATTTGACCAATGAATAAAATGACTTTCAGTGGAAATACTGTGTTTCTACATAGTATGATGGGTTACAACCTTGTAACTATACAACTGCTGGTGGGCTTGGTGGGCCAAATTTGGCCCGCGGGCCCCACTKTGGGCTCCTCTGATTTAAGGGAACCACAGATGGCTGAATCTTTCAAAAACGGACTAAAAACCTACCCGTTTTGCACCTTCTATGGCCATGTTTGATTTTTTTGTAGTATTTTGGGATTTCTGAATGTAAAGTGCCCTATAAATCAAATATATAATAACAACAACAACAACAACAACAACAACAACAACAATAACAATAACAATAATAATAATAATAATAATAATAATAATAAATAAATGTGTTTTCTAATTTGTTGCAATGCAAGCAGGGTCATCAACCAGGGGGTGCTAATGGGGGCTATGATCTTTAAATTAGTTGTCCCACCACTGTCCTTTTCCAGCTGCTAGTTTATCCCCCCCCACCATTAAATAGTAAAATGTCTTGGTTTCAACATTTCAGTTTATAAGATTTGCAACTTATGACATTTTTATTTTATTTATGTTACATAAAACATAAAAAACCCTTGCACCATGTTTTCATGCACTGAATCAGTTTGCAGATTTGGACTTGGTACAAAGGAACGATGATATAATTACAGGCTTCTCAGTGCAGCTGTGAACCATCATGTTTGGCACACCCTGAGCTCTCGGTGCCTTTTATTTGGTATTGTTTGTCCACATTTTATTGCACCCATTGGTTGTAACCGTAGCCACACTGCCAGACATAAATGAGCGATTCTCCCTTCTCTTCATCCCCCCCGACAGCTGTAGGTAGTCTGCACTCAAGGCTGTTTCTTGGCCGTCTCCGGTCAGATGCATTTGTTCCATCTGTTCTCTAACTTCATCAAGCAGAAGCGCTGGGTTTTGTGTCGCAGACGCCACACTGCTCCGTGGATGTTGATTTTGTGAATGTCAAGCTTGCACATTCAATTAATTATTCTGTTTTTACTGTTAATCAACAGGTGTCCTGGATACTGCCAGATTCGAAACACCTCACACAGACTAACAAAAAGAAAAGAAAAGAAGCAGACTAATGAAAAGGTCCAAAAAAAGAAAAAGAAAACACCCGCTGCTTCGCATTTTGATCACTCGCAGACCTGTTTCTGCAACAAATACAGAGAACATCTTTCATATTTGTGTCCACAGAAAGAAAGGTCTTCTTTTAAAAATCCTCACAGATGTGACTCATCTCAGAATTACATTTATTCGTGCAGAAAACAGACCAATATACTCTTTAGATTAAAAATGCTGAGAACAATTTTTTCCCTACAGAAAGTAATCGAAAGCTGAGATTATTCAGATGTCAAACAAAACTTTGCTATTACAGACAGTAATGTGATTGTTGTGTGCTCTCCACATGAYCAAAACAAATCTAAGGGTAAAAGAAACACGTTTTCCTCCTGATTGCRTTTCCCTGAGCTGCTGCTGCCAGAGAAATTGATTTCCGAAAATATTTCTGTAAGTTTTACAATTTGTTCTGCMGTGAATTACAGAGATGAGTTTTAAAGTGTGATGAAAGTCACTAACACAGCTACTGACAGAACTATTTAGGTACACAACGCCAAGACGTGGAGTAGTAGTGGACAGTTCAGTTCATCGCGGTGCMGATTCTTTTCAGTTTTTAGAAAACGGCACACATCTGTTTGCAAATTGCTTCATAATAATCATAGAGAGCCTCATTACGTTTCGCAAAACTTTCCTCTGCCAAGACAAGAGCCGAGGAGAAAGGATGTGATCATTATCTTTTGTCTGGAAGATAAAACTTGGTACAGACTTGTCGAGCAAGAAAAGAGCCAAAGATCACAAACGCTCTTTGTAGCTTTTACGTTCTCATTTCGTGCAGCAGGATGGAGCCAAAATTATCTCCGATGAATTAGTCTGGGTGACTGCCTGGATCAGAATTAATACTGCACTTTATTATGCATGAAAGAAGCGTGATATTGAAATTGATTTGATTTTCTAATTAAGCTTATCCAAAGTAGAATGAGCAATTTTATGTGTGAAGTTTGACGTGGCCTTTAATTCTGACTATAAACTTATAAATCAGAGTTGATTCTTTTTTTTTTTGAACAACACAAACTTAGTCAAAAGGAGCAGCATTAATGTTTTCATTGCCCACTGCTACACCTGAAAATGTGAACTTATGTCTGCAAGGACTTCTAGTCTGGTAATTGTTTGCATACGTTTATTACTAATACTCCATGTCAAACTCATTTTCCCTGAGGGCCACATGAGCGTTGTAATTAATGCTGATGTTTCATGTTTAACTTCAACTAAGAGTTTTAACACATTTTCTAATAAACACTGAAAAGTACCAAGTGTATGACTGGTTAAATCTGGCAAAAATAAATAACATTAAAAGGAAACGAGAGTTTTACTCACTGCTGAGTTGTGGTGTGTAGTGGCCATCTTGAATTCTGAACTTTCCCACTTTCTGACAGGGAATTCCCATGAATGAACAACATGCATTATGGGAGATGTAGTTTATGGTCGTACTGTGTTATCCAACTAAATTGTTCAGTTGCTTAAACTCAACAGCACAGGGGCAGGACAGGTATTATCTTTCACCTTTTAAATGTATTTATTTTTGTTCCATTTATATATAAATTTAAAGTTTACCATTGGTATAAGAAGCTATTTTCCTCCATCCATCAATCCATTTTCTTCCGCCTATCCGGGGTCGGGTCGCGGGGGCAGCAGCTTCAGAAG